TTTTTATGCTTTTGTTACCTTAGAATAAGTTGTTTTTGTCTACAGATGCCTTGGGTCTCCATGTTGAACCATTATGTCTCTATAGTAGCGTTTTGCAACACCGTAGTTTGTCCTTCATGCTTGGAATGGGAGGATAAACTTAACCAATAGATGTCAGTAAATCCTACATACTGGACCTTTAATCCACTAGCTAGGGGTTTATGAAACATTTTTGGGTAATATTCCAGTGAAAACAATGACTGTTGCTTCAAACCTTTAGCAGCTTCACTCCTGTCCAATTGTTCCATTACATGTGCTAATTATTAGTTGGATTACAGCAAGACTAATAAATTGGATAGACCCATATACTTTGGTCAGTATTGGCTAGAAATAGACAACTTTTTTGCTTTAACTTATTATGAGGTAAATGTTGCTTTCCACAGTGTAAAGGTTATAGAATATTGTTTAGATTGGTTCTTTCACTTCACAATTCTGTGTGTTCTCCCGGGCACAATATTTCCCAGGAAAATAAATATTCAATTTATGAGACTCTTTCCTGATGTTTTGTTAATGTTACTCCTACTTCCACCCTGATGCCAACCCCTACCACAGTTACTTGTTTCTCCAAAGCAATAAAGTTACTCTAACTGTTATTACCATGCAATCCACATCTTAATAGCTTTTTGAATGTTCCCAAATTTCAATTTACCTCTTCAGTAAACATGCTTCTTTCTTTTCTCTAATTTCCAAAGTGGTCCTGATTATTTCTTTTAAAAGTTGCCTGTTTCCACTTTATGGATATAACATATCCACGCAAGTGTCAGTACATAAGTTGACCACTAACAAGAGTACAGAAATAAATGTATTTTCAGTCATTTACAAAGTCTCTCCTTTACATAGTTTGTCTAGCCTAGAGCACTGGTGAGTTTTTTTTTAAATTACAAAATGTCCTGCTCAGTACATATTATGGTTACAGTTATTAGAAGAAAAGTATATATATATTTGTTTTAAATGAATGCACTATATATATTGCTACAAATATCTATATTGGTATTGGCCTGAAAAGTCCAGTATCACTCATGCTCTGATTTGAATCGCCTACTGTATGTTGCAACAACATTTTGTCAGCAGCTGTCAATCACTAAGCAGATACTGTCCATCAGGTATTATATACAGCAGTGTAGTGGCATGCATATGATGTCATTGCACTCACCCACACTGACATTGTGTATGCCCTCTGAGACAGTTATGAAGGACATTATAAAACAACTTAAAAGGGCATCGGTGATTGATGAAGTTATTATTAAAAAGCTATTCTTTTAGCTGCTGTTCTTTAATTTCGATCAATAACACAGGTGAAAGTAATAATACTCTCTTTCTCTGTCATCCATTTTCTCTCCGTCAGATACCCCTGTCAGAATCACGCTAGGACTTCCCATTGTTTAAGGAAAAACCAATGAATAAAATATAAGTGAAAATTGTATTTTTCATATGAATAATGTAAAAGAGGGCACGCTGTTGGCGTCCACGTCTCAAGGTTAGACTATATTGTTAGTTTCCCCGCGTGGTCCAGGCTTTGTTCTTGTTTGGTACGAAATGAGAGGATCCAATTCTATCAAGTTTTCTGTTCTGAGGGACACTTTGCCTCCTCTGCTGGGTATATGTTATTTCAGGAACTTGAAAGGCAAACTCCAGACCCAGCATGAGGTATGTAGTGTTAAGGCAGTGCCATATGGTATGACTTGGAGAGCATGCCAGAACTTTTCACCACAGCCTGCTTCCTTCACTCTGTCCCAATCAACTGCTTCCTACAAGGAGGTAAACTGAAGGAGATGAAGAAAGGACCGACAGAATATTGGGATAGATTTATATTCTAGAGTGATTGAAGATGACACTTAACTGATGACTTCACGCCAAAACTGTTCTCCAAGGGAATTTTAGCTTGATGTGTGACTTGTAATCAAAATCCAAACCATTAAATCTAAAGGTTTACATTCATCATTTGTTCATTCTTTGATAGGCCAATAATCTCTCCAATGAGCGGCAGGTAGGTGTGAGCGAGCTGTGTTGGACGGTCATGCAATTTATTTTTATGAACAGAATCCAGCAGGGAAAACAAGGAGTGGAACGCAGATTTACACTGGACTAAAACTGAACTGCTACTGTTTGATACATGCACAGTGGAAAAAAAAATCAGTGAGCCTGTTAGAATTTTCAGGGCTTCTGTATTGATTGTGTGCTCCTTATTTATAGCATACAGACAAATAAAGTAATCAATCATGGTACATTTGGGCTACAGTATATTCCATTACAAAGGGGTCATCTTCTCTTTCTCGCATTCCTCTAAAGGAAACAAAACCTTTCGCTATATGCCTCTTTCCGAACTGACATTTTTATGTTTTGTTGATTTATATTTGTCTGAGCCATAATTTAAAACTTTGACTGAGTCACAGTAAAGTTGTGGAGTGATTGACGTTACTCTCCTCAGCTTGATATTTGTGAGGAGTTTATGTGCTTTTGCAAGTATTTTTATCTCACTGACTTAATCTATTTTATTATCATCATAAGCTTGTTATACATTCGTCCATCATGTGTTCATGTGAAATTAAATGTATTAATTTGTACTGTAAAGTATTATGAAATGTACCATTACGCTCTCTGTCCGCTTGAGAGTAAATGCCTGGTAATAGACATTTTTACTGTATAAGTTGGAGAGCGCCGCTGCCTGTATGTACCATTAGTTTTGGTCTCTGGCTAGACCATCTCATTTTGAGAGGAGTTGGAAGCTCAGTTGAAATCTTCAGATCTTCTGAGACACCAACCTTTGTGGAGCCAATCTTTTAGAGGATCCAGCCTCTGAATTGGGACACAGCTATTTGGACATTCGGCTTTCATCAGTTTTTGATGTACTTTGTTTACATCAGTTCAGTCAGACACGTCAAGCATCTGCTTGAATGTTGTGGTGGTTGTACTGCTCTTTATGGAAACTTCACACAATCCAAACCAAAGCACTTCTCATTTGAGATGTAGCTCAGTGAGCGTTCTGACTACTCTCAGATGAACAGCGATAAAATACTAATATCTTCATAGAAGAAAAATATGCTACAACTTAATGTAGATGCATGCAACGTATGTTGCTGTTAGAGGCAATCAAGGTGCTCTCCCTTCCCTGAAAACTAGTTGAATTAGTGAGCAGTGAAGCACATAAAACCAATACTTTGAGTAAACATATTTTGCTTAGCTGAATATAAAGTATTTAGAGAAAAAATGTGACTGTGATGACTTATTGTATATGTGACAATAACCATTTTTTCCATGAAGCCAATATTATGCGTAAATAATGCAGCAGTCATTTGCATCCCTAAACCAACCACAGTCCTCTACCTGATTTACAGTGAGACAATAAGAAACCACCCCCCCAAAAAAATAATGACAGCAACATGAGGGATAACTATGCCGTAGGCCAAATTAGCACATATTTCACCAATGACATAAATAGCATGAAGGCATAATGCGTCTTCAAAACAGAAATGTAATAAAAAATCTTGGATGTTACATTATTTTTTACAGTCAGTACCCTTGAAAATATGCATTAGTACCTGCAGAGGCAGGACTGTATCTTGATAGAGATGCAGACAGCAAACCCTATTACATCCACTACAGGCAGGTCTGCAGGACAGCCATTAAGACCCTGCAACAAATCCATGCCTTAAACAAACTGAATCGTTGTTAAGCAAATGTCAAAAAAGCTTAAACTGGATGAAACAACCACCTAGGAGGGCAGCGTGCTGACATTTGCCAAACACACTGACCTGAGCCAAGACATCTACTAAAAGCAAAAGCAGCAACATCTGCTAAAAGCACATGCGGCAAATAGTACCTTGGTTTCCCAGCTTCTCTGCTCTAAATGAACCCCTTGAGAAAAGTCACCACGGTCCCAAGCTGCCAACAGCACAGACAGAGCTTACCTTTCACCCAGCAGTGGTAAAGTCTGAGCACTCTGGTGTAAATAATGAGGGTAACCACAGCCAGGTTACAAAGGCAACACTGCCCACCTGTATGAATGACAGGATGTTACTAGTCCAATACATGCTTTCCAGTCGCCCAACTCATTTTAGTTGTACAGTGGTTTTAGGTTCTTTAATGGAAGAATGTTGAAAATACAAACTCACCAGAGGGGAAGTGAACTTCTCAGCAATCTAACAGGAGAAAAAAAAAAAAAGTCAATGCCAGCCACATAAAGAAAAACTTATAGACCTTCTGACAGCAGACATTTTAACTTTTCATAGCAGGAAAAGCATAAGTGAAATGAATTAAGTTAATGATGGCTCAGTTCCTTTAAGTGTCCCAGGAAGCCATACCAATGAGCCAGCAGGCAACGGGTCAAAATGGCTGCTGTAAAATCCAAGAGGATACAGAATTTCTTCCTTGCGTATTCGCTGCTCTGCCACTGCTGGCTGGAAAGCATAACGCAACAGTCTGTGCTCCTCCAATTAGCATAACAGCTATTAGCTGTTAATATGCTGACGTTTAACATTTAAATTAGCATAATAGCAAGCATTAGCCTGCATACATAGCAGACAGTTACAACATGCTAATGTGTGTAAAGTAGGCCTATGTGAGGAAGTTTAATGCAAGACATTTACCACAATGCTACTGATTATCATAGGCTAACACTAACGTAGGTTAGGTTACTCTTGTTTACTGTCCTATCAGTACCAAATTTGCCTGTAACATTTACATTTACATTTCTATCAAACACAGGTGATACCAATGATACTAATTAAGGTTCAGTTACATTCAGGTCAGTATTATTCAGTGTTCAGTAATGAATTATAAAGTTATTTCCCCACAATTCTTTCCCCAAATTACCACAAAGTCTGCTATAGGCCACTGCGACATAAAGTATTATGTATGGAAGCTAATTTTTAAAATCTCATTTGTATCATAAAGTATGACGTACTTAAACTTGTACTGGCCCTTTAATGAAGAACCCGCCCTCTAAGCATGTGACACAACAAGGAAGTTTAAATGTAACGTTTCACGAAACCAAAGTGAAGCTCTTCTCTACAGCGACTTCTCCTGTATTCAATATTAGCGGTAACCACCTGCTCGGTTCGGCAGTCCGCGGGAATATTTGGCGTTAAAAACAGTAATGAATATAATATAACGACTAGCAGTCGTCTGTGTGGCGTTGTAATGTTAATGCAACGTTTTGTTTGGACAAAATGTTTGTGTGGCTCCTATTGTCTACCTGTTTAGCCTTACTGTTTCCTCTGGGACACACAGCGCTACCTCTCGTTATCAATACGTGGCCATTCAAGAATGCGACTGCTGCAGGTAGGACATACAGTACGGGACTGTCTGCTGGTTGTACACTTTCACTGTGTCTGGAGTTCAATCATGTGACACAGGGCCCAAAATCTGCACACTAATGGCTTATGCCGCCCAAAAAGCAGAAGGATTTAACTTTACTTAGGCTTAAGTAACAGTACCACAATGCGGAATATCCTCCACTACAAGAATACGTCGTGTATTTAGAACCGTCCATTAGTATTATCATTTAAGTTTAGTCCTACTTGAAGTATTAAAAGTAAAAGAAGACTCATTCTGCAGTGCCGTGGTCCCTGTCAGTGTTACATCTGATGCTTTTAGATTAATATCACCTCTGTGGATGTATACGGTGGAGCTAATTTTAACCTCTCAATGTGCTGTTGGGTGTTTAGTTTATATTCTGTCATGAATATCTAAAAGTCAACTTTTAATGAGCTCAGAAAAACAGCCCTGTTTTCAGCTTTGTGACATTTTCCAGCTAATCCATGTTTTTTTGGTTTTATTGGTTTAGGAAGTTGGATCATTTTCTCAGCACTTCATCTTTCAGTTTATCAGAAACATTCAAAATCAACACATTTGGAAATACAGGGTTTTCAATGGACAGTGAGGGTATGAAACCTTTCTGAAAAGGAACTAAAGCTGTCAGATAAATGTAGTGGAGTAAAAAGTTTGACAGATATTTTCCTCGGAAATGTAGTGAGTAAAAAGTTGCATGAAAGGGAAATACCTCAAATTTGGGCTTAAGTACAGTATTTGGTAATATTCTACCACTGCCCAAAATAAATATTTGATTACACTGGTTATTTATGTATTGTTAATGTTTTGAACACTGTGTGTACTTTCTCTTCTTATTTGAAAAGGAAAACAGTAGTCAGGTCACCAGTTTAATTGCTGTATTGGTGTGCCTCTGCAAAATGGTATCTTCTTTGTTTAATGGTCTCAGAAGTATTCTGTAAGGAGGTATCAAAATAAAGACTTTTTCTTTCTTCTTTCTCACAGCGCTCGTTATTGAGCCTCCCAGTCGAGCAACAAATACGTCGTTCACATCATTTTATATGCATGTAAACATACCAAGCGCAGTTATTTTAAGCTTTGAGAGAGTAGGTTGGATATTATCTGCCCTCCTCTCGACAGTCTGATGTGACAGCATATCGTCTGATATGCACATGCTTTCAATTCTCAAAGAACAACTACATGTCTAATGGTCTTGTTAGTTGCAGAGCAGCAGTTGTAGTTTTATAAATGACTTTTAGTAGCAAGCACGTCGTGGCTGTGCACACTGTCATTAGATGACTCATCATGCAGGTAACTACGGCAACTTGATTGGCCACTGATGACCTATGGTGGCAAAAAACAAACACTAATTAACTAAGGTAATTAAACAGGAGAAAAGTGAAGTGCATAAATGCCACTGATGTTTTTTAGTATTTATGATTCTTTTGCTTAATTTAATTTAATTGCTGATATAATTCTAAGAGCAGAAACAGCAAACAGTAAATAATTTGGCAGCTAATTAAATATGTCAGCCAGTCTCTGGTGTCTCTCATGCTGTCATATGTCTCTGTCATTTGTTATGAAACATCTTTGGATTTTTGGTCTGTCAGTCAAACAAAAAACATTTTAAGACATCTCCTCGGGCTTTTGGAAATTGCAATGGGGATTTTTCACTGTTTTCTGATAATTCATAGGCCGAACAATTAATCAGTGAATGAATGATTGATCAGCAGATGAATGATAAAGACAGTCATTTTAGTTGCAGTTTACTTTGTCTAATTTTATCATATATTTCTGACATAAATGTTGAGCCCCATGACCAATTTTCCATCATGAAAGGAGACAGAGAGCGTGTGTGTGTGTGTGTGTGTGTGTGTGTGTGTGTGTGTGTGTGTGTGTGTGTGTGTGTGTGTGTGTGTGTGTGTGTGTGTGTGTGTGTGTGTGTGTGTGTGTGTGTGTGAGTATATGTGTGGTGAAGTGCAATTCCTGGCAGGCTCCATAACCCGTATTTCCAGTATTTCCCCCTCAGACTATAATAAAGTGCTTTTTTTTTTTTCTTGCTATATACTTGTGACTTCACTACAGCTTAACCGCACAACTGTGTAAGATCAGAGACGTAGATGGGGAGAGGAAATGGGCAGAACCCACCATGGCTTCATAACTGCCATTGCCAGGTTTGCCTCCACTCTATTTGATTTCCTTCAGGATGATACATTGGACATGTTCAAATTGAAACTGAAAATATTTCAGCGTTGCCTGTGACTTATCTGTCAAGTGGATTTCCAACTAGGTGCACAGCTAACATGAAAAAAAAAAAGAAGATAGAACTGGTGTTCAAAACATCTCAAGGAACACATCAAACCTGTAGGTGATTCAAGTTAACTTAAAAATCTCAACATTTGATAGATGCATACCCTTTTAATTTATCCGATGTACATCCCTTCTTTTCCCCCAGGTGGGTATGAAAATGAAAAATGTACCCAGCTACCCAGTGTAGTCTGTGAGCCACTGCTATTGATCCGCCCATGCAGATCTCTTTTCCTTTGGGGGCTTACAGAAGCATCTGACAAAAACAGGCTAATCTTCCCTTCCATTCTGCTGCATTTCCTAAGTGAAAAAGATTGTAATGCTGAGTTTGATATATAAGACAAGAGCACTTACCAAAAATGGATAAATCATAAATGATAAGAGGAGGAATTTGTGGTAGTATCCCGCTGAACACAGTGCAATGGTCTGAGAATTTAGTGGCAAGCTGGTGACAGTGCTACCAGTTGGTATTTTGATCCCCCATGGGCACTTGGGGGATCAGTGACCAAATGCTTGTAAGCTTACATTCCCGGTTTATTAGGAATCCATCGTACTGGTCATCTTGTGCATCATCTGAAATTTTAACTCATCTGCCCAGATATTTGAACTAGGAAAATAGATTCATTTATTTACCCTACATATTTAACTCTGTTTAAAGCCACAATCTCCAATAAGGTGAGTTTGGAGATTTTTGCTGTTCAGCAAGAACGATTACCTTTTTTAACCCTAGTTTGATAGATTTATTGGATGTTACACTCAACCCAAGCAAAAATGTGTTCTGTGGTATCAGATAATTTTACAGTAGCTGTCAAAGTTAAAACAGGACGTTAAATTGTGTTTAGTTCTCCCAGTGGTGAGAGTCAAACGGTGACCTTCACCTCCTTTTCCCCAGATGGAGGTTAAAATCCACAGTAATATCTTTTGACTGGTGGGAGGGGGGTGTACTTCCCATCCCAGGTACAATGTCTGTGTTGTAGTATATACTGAATGTTTAACTGTGTTCTGCTTCACACTGTAGCATGGAGTACCCTGCAGTCCGGTGGATCAGTGTTGGATGCAGTGGAGAGTGGCTGTGCCCGTTGTGAAATGGAGCAGTGTGATGGCAGTGTAGGCTATGGTGGGAGCCCAGATGAGTCTGGAGAGACCACGCTGGATGCCATGATCATGAACGGGTAAACTATGGACCTAACTGCACTGTTACTAAAAGTAAAAATAGGACAATAAAAATACTTGTAATAATGAAGCAGTAAAGATCCAGCAATGTTCTCGTTCTGAATATTCTAAAGAAATAAGTATAAATGGGAAAATATTTGTGACTATCTTTTAGAATCAGAAATGACCTATATTTCAGTGAAAATGACCTAGATGTTGGCCACTCTAATTATGCACCTGCAGCTGTCAACATATTGTGCAACTGTCTTACAGTATGTGCTGGTGCTGTCTTTCCACCTTTAATGTTTGCAGCCATAGCTGGTTGACCTTTCCAGCCTGTGTTCTTTAATAAAGCACTAATTAAGGTGCTCATTAGGATCTGAAAGATTGCCAGTTATTAAGTCCTTAAGTACAATCATTTACACACTCAGAAGTTAGCGTGGGAGGCAAGCGTCACAAGCTCACGATCATGACAAAAGGCAAGCAGCAAGCTGTTAGTTATTACTCTATGGAATGTTCCTCCTTCCATTTTGCAGGAAAATTGACTTTCTTATGGTTACACAGTCATGAATACATTGTGGGGAGAGGATAGTCTCCCACACAGTATCCAATATAGCTGCATAAGAAATACTGTAGCTATCACCTGAGCACAAGAATCGAAACACCTGGCCAGTTTAACGCAATTCTGTACAGCATCCCTGCAAGAAATACTAGCGCTCTAAAAACTTTAAAGTAATGTTCAATTCTTTATTTTGATTTTGTCTGGGAGAATTTGACTCAACTCAATCAATTCCTTACATCACCACAAGCCACAACCTCAAAAACTAGTTGACTTCACAGTCTCAAACAAAACTGAACATTATGCTATAGGTTGATGTAATATGTATTATATGCATGCATTTCTAATAAAATGCATTACACTGTAAACAGGGTTTCTATTTTTTTCTGTGTGTGTGTATGTATATATATATATATATATATCATTCATAAATATAAAACATTGGAGACTGTAATGTTAGCCAGAATTACATTTTATGGGTCTGACTCATTATGCTAATTGGCTAATCACATCCACCAATATGTAAGAGGTACAATAATACCTAGAAAACACACTGCTACTGAAACAAAAAATGAAAAACACGACTGTTTTCATCATCTTTCTCTGATTTGCTCCATCACCTGTGTTATGGAAACTATGTCTATCAATCTCTGGCCAGCTGTTAATGAAGGGGACATGGGGTTATTGGGGTGGGGGCCGTGTTACAGACATGCAGCTATTGTTGGGAGATTACTAGCCACCAATACTGGTTTATAAACTAGGTCGATTACATGTGGTCTCTTTAAAGATTCCCTGTGGAGTTTTCTTGTACAAACAACAAAACAAACTGTTATGTTAACATTCAGTGTTACCAAAACACATGATGTGTATGTTCAAGGTCTGACAAATGCAATGTATTTCCTTCCTTGCAAAGCACTTATTTCTTTTTTTTAACTGGCACTTTGCTGTATCTAGGCACATTACCACCACCTGTAGATCAGTGGAATTGTGTGACCCTATTCGCAGGAATGGGCACTGCGGCTCCATAGCGCTTACTAGAGGTCAAAAACTCCACGGGGAACCTTTGAACACATACTACTTGTGCCCTGTAAACCAGTAGTAATGTTTTTTTCCTCTGTATTCTTTGTGACCAAGGGATACAATGGAGGTGGGTGCAGTTGCAGACCTGAGAAGAATCAAGAATGCCATTGGAGTAGCGAGAGCTGTAATGGAGCAAACTTACCATACAATGCTAGTAGGAGAGTCGGGTATGTGTGGATCAATGTCAAAGTACAAAAAAACAAAGTACAAAAAAAGAATTTGTGGTGGTAATCTTGAGATTTTGGAATCCAACCTAGTGTGAAAACTCTCTGACCAACATCTAACACTTTCTCCAAGTTCCTTTTTAAATGCAGTTCTGGGAATCACTTATGTTTTATGGGGACACCTTGATATTTGAATTTGCACTTGTCACATTAAGGCCATTTTAGGCTCTATATAATGTGTGGGTTTTTTTTTTGTTGCAACACTTGAATAAGCTTAAATCCCAAGATCCCTAACATCAACAGTTAGTGACGATAGGCTCCCAGAAAGGAAAGATTTAAAAGAGCGTTCTTTCGCTTTTTCACGAGGGCAGTAAATGATTCATTTCATTTAAACGAAAACTTAAGGCAAATATTGAAACTTTTTATTCCAGTGTGAGCTACTGCAACAAGAGCCCCCCAAAATCCAAAGCCACAAGCCGAAATGAGATGAGATTGCCTCCAGTTCCTCCTTTGTTTGTGACCCTGTTTTCTTATAACCCAAGGTCAGCGTGGTCCAGAGTCTGTGAGTTGACCTGAAAGTATTACTCCTCTCTTTATAGCCTCAGTGTTTGCTGAAAACATGGGCTTCGTCGCAGAAGACCTGACTACCAACAAATCTATGAACATTTTCTCACAGTGGCTGAAGGGCAACTGCCAACCTAATTATCGAAAGGTGTGTATGTATAAGAGTGTGTATTTTTCCTTGCTGGTGTTGGCTACAGGCATGCTGCTTCTAAAATATTGATATTAAGCAGGGGAATTGACAGGCATACTAAACTAGTTCACAAAAAAAAGTCAGCTTTTGTGGTAGAGGTGATGCCCTACAGCGCTGTTTTCTTTTGCTATTCTTTAAATCTAACCTGTTCACTTCCCAAACAATGCCTCTGAATCTCCAGAATAAGATTTATTTTTTCCTTTTAAGTCATCTTTTATCATTTCAGAGACGGTATGGCGTGTCCTATTGATTGGATTTACCATTTTGCACTTTACGCTGTCCACCACAATGACTACAAAACTTAAGTTCCTCGTTCAAGGACATCGCAACAGTAGCTGAAAGAGAGACAAAGCTGATCACTCCTACAATCCGAGTTTTACTTCAACTTTTGATGCTCATATTAACAAATACATTGTATTAATAATAGTTCTTATTATTTAGCAGTACAATGCATTTAACAAAATTCTATATAATAATATAGGGTTGAGCAAGTACTCGGCTGAAATGAGTGTCCGATATGGATAATGTGCTTTTGATGAGCATCATCACAGTGAAATGTGTCAATATCCGTTTTCTAATAGGGCGGCAGTAGCTCAGTCTGTAGGGACTTGGTTTGGGAACCGGAGGGTCACCAATTCAAGTCCCACAGACCACAACATGCAGTGTGGACTGGTAGCTGGACAGGCGCCAGTTTTCACCTCCTCTGCAAGGCAATCTAACCCCAAGAAACTGCTCATGGGGCGCTGCTAACGTGGCAGCCCATTACTCCACCATCTCTCTCTCCCTGTTTGCATGTCCACAAGTGTGTATTTCAGCCTGTGTGTGTGTATATAATATAAAATAAAATAAAAAGAGTGAAAAAACAATTTCCCCAATAGGGGATTAATAAAGTACATATCTTATCTCTTATGTAATAAACAATAAATATACTTTTATGAAGAAAAAAAAAAACTGTAGTGTAGATAGTAAACAGTAGTTCTAAATAATTATTTCATTGTTGTGATCAAAAACCCATATCAAATTGTATAATCTATTTGACAGTTTTATAATTTTTTGTTGCCGAGGTCAAAGGAGAACAACTGTACCTGAATTTTTTTATAACTAAAGAGAATGGTTTCAAGGGGTTTACCCTCACCTTCATGAAAGGGAATATAAGAGACTTTGCTTCATGAATAATGGACAGCCACTTTCATAAAGCAAGCTAGTTGATCCCATCTTTGGTTTATTGATTGCAAGATGGGAGCTCTGTAAAAACACAATGCTGATACAGATACACATTCTGTATGAAAAGACCTTTTGTTTCAACATTTCCCTTTCATGGCTCCATGTTTTATGACTGTTCACCTGCACTGTGAATCTGAAATTTTTTTAGCAGAACTCCACTGTAACATCATAGGAGAATGAACTTTTCACACCTCCCTGCAGGTCAAGCTGCTAAAGTCAGTCATGAGAGCAGAGAAAACGCCTTGAGGAAGAGAGACAGTGAAACTTTTTGTCAAACTACACTAGACACTAGGTGCAGTAGGTCGTCTGTCTCAATAAAATATATATGACTTCTGTACGACACATTTTGACTGCAGCAATAATTTAAACTGGGATGTTTTATCAATATGATGGTTCAGTCACTGGAAACTAGCGTTTATAGAGATTCCAACCCAAACAAGACTCCTTACTGCTTATCATTAGGGACAATTATTGGCTGTGTTTTAATTCATTACATCACAGCAAATGCCTGCAATTTAGCATGTGCCTTGCTTTTATGTCATTTGCATAATGCCATTATATTTGAACTTGATTATTCCAACTGTGATATTTTCTGTCCTGTCAAAAGAATGTGTTTCCAGATCCTTCCAAGTCCTGCGGACCCTACAAGCCGAGGGCAACACTGAGACAGAACAAGTGGGCACAGCATGCTAATACACACTCCCACGACACCATAGGTTGGTTTTATCTGTTAATACAGAATATGATGTTAGCTCTCCTCAGGCACTTTTATACAGTTTAGTGTTTAAGCACTTCATTGGAAGTAGACAGGGATAAGAAAGATATCTTACAACATAGCATGCCCAAAAGGAACGTTAGATAGCACTGAAGTAGAGGTTAGCAGGAAACAATTCAGTCTAGAGGTTTTAAATTTGGGTTTCTGTCCAAAAAGATCAAACCTAAAACAAATTCTTACTTGGCCCTTTTTTAATGTAGCCTGAGCTAGACTTATGTATTGATCAAGGTGCCTGCAGCTGCTCGGAATAAATTATATTATACTGATATTATATATTATGCTCACAAAAACCTTCAACAGGAATCTCAGGGTCTTGAAATGAACTGCAAGGATACCCTTATGCTGGCTGATGTTTTAATACCACTTGTTTTTGCACCAGGGATGATCGCTCTTGACCAAGATGGGCATGTGGCTGCTGGTACATCCACCAATGGACTAACTCACAAAGTCCCAGGGTATGTAGAGCATGTAAATGTAGACATTTGCATAACAAAATAAGCTTTCCTTCCAGTTTTTAGTTTTTTTTGTTGAAGTAAAATATGGACACTTTGTTATTAAGTAGCTCTCTCCAAAGAACAATAACTGCGTTGTAAGTACTTTAGATTTATGTTCAGGGCTTTGTTTCCCCATGTAACAGTTTTGGGTTTAGTTCAAAAGGTTCCATAATGAATTACAATGCTGAATGAGATGATGCTGCAAATCTTAGTGTCACAGTGGGGGATGTGATTCTGGACACATTACAGTAACACGGTACCATGACAAATACCATAATATAGTGCAAACGACGACACAGCACTTACTGTAACTACATACACAGAACCATTTGAGAGGTTATCCTTAGAAACATTTCGGGAAAAAGGGCAGGCACTATGAACCTCAATCAAATCAGTAAGCCAGTCGGGGGAGAGTAGCAAAAACCTCTTTGGATTCAAATTGCATACCCCACCTTTAAGCAGTACATGTAGTGTTGGTCTATGTTTGAACCCTGGTCAAATTCCTGTCCTGCAGTCGAGTTGGGGACTCTCCTATTGTTGGAGCAGGGGCCTATGCAGACAGCTCAGCTGGTGCTGCAGCTGCTACTGGAGATGGCGACGTCATGATGCGCTTTCTGCCAAGGTACCTCACCCATTGTCCTTTTTATATAAGAAAAAAAGTCCTATTAAGTTTTACAAAATGCATTTCCTGTATTGTTACCTTGAGCCATTGGATGCTCCTCTGCATGAAAGAATGATCTCAAAGTAATCAAATAGGACATTTAAAAAAGAATGTCAACAATCTTCACACCTACATATTTTTTTCTTATTTGTCTTGAAAAGAGAGGATTCACTGAAGTATGCAAGTTATGTGAAATACGGTTTATTTTCCATTTTCTATTACAAAGAAACATCCATCAGAACTTCTCTAACAGCGTTGCTGAGACATGCTGACTGGATTTCAGCTCCGCTCCCTAACCAGGGTTTATTTCCCGGCCACCTTGATGAATAATAGGACTGTTAAGTTTTTTTTCCTTGACAGAAGAAGTGTGTTTCAGAGAATATTGACATCTGTGACATATGTAGTTTTTAAACAGCCAATTTCTGGTGTGAACCTCTGCTTGCTGCAAGTGCAACAATAGCATTAGAAAGAGTGGAGGCGTGACTACATTGCCCCAAAACTGTCATTTGTACATTCCACAGAAGAGGCAAGATTTCACTTAAGCTGCTGTTTGTTTCCAGGCTGTGCGAATGTGGCGGTCTCAGAAGGTTTTTTATTTATTTTTTTAAAGATTTATTTATCCAGGATGGTTTGGCGAGTACACATGCTGTTTTTTTTAAGATGCACTCAGCTTTACATTCACAGTCACACACAACCACACCTCAGGGTCGTCTTTTTCAATCATAGTTTTCTGAGTCACTTTCTTCAACTATTGGGGTGTTGGATTTTTCAAGAAGAACTTGCCACTAGTGGACTGTAGAATGTTTATCATTCATTCTCCGTGCCCACATTTTCCAGCAATGGGCAGTTTTAAAACTACATCTGTCCTCTATGTTGGAATAGTCGTAGAATTGCCGGTCCAGAAATCTGGAATCTTCCTGCAGTGTGTATAACAAGTGTTATGAGAGGCATTTAAATCAAATTCAATTACTCAAACTAATTTGTTTGCCATCTTGTGTGGAAAATAACACCTTACATGGTGCATCGCCTGTCAGAAGTATTCACTGAGGAATTTGACTTTGATTAATTGAGTTTCGACTTGAAAATTCCAAACTTTTACAGAAGTACATTTTAGGAAATTACATTGTGTCACTCATTTGTTTTATACATTTGACCTCAGGCTGGTGGAGTTGATGGCACACATATAGTGTCTGTGTAGAGCAAGTCATTTGCATTGCTGTGATGGTAGATTACTCCCCATTTGCTGATTTTACACACTTGTGAGCACCTAGTGTCACAACTCTGTTGCATACCCCGGAGCGAGGGCGGGAATATTACATTTTCTAATCATATTTTTAGATTTATCCCACATCATAATCACAAGCACATCCCTATCATCATCCTGGTTGGTGGCCCTGACAGCACTCGTTAGCTAGGCTCATGTGTACTGCATGTAATCCTGCCAACAGTTACTTGGCCGTGGAGCTGATGAGGGCCGGGGCAGATCCCTCGGCAGCCTGCAAGACGGCCATTTCCAGAATCAAGAGGCATTACTCAGAATTCTTTGGAGCCATCATCTGTGCTAACACAACAGGCCATTATGGTGAGTGTCAAGGTTCACAACTACAGGCTGCTCCACCACTGCCAAAGGCCCACACCTGACGCACGCTCACATCTGCAGAGGTGCTGACAAGCAAATGTATATACATAAGGGCGGTTTTATGTTGTTGTTTTCTTAATTGCATTTACTTTCACTTTCTATAAAAGATTCTGATTCATCAAAAAATATCCATAATAATGTTTGGAATTTTTTTTATTTAAATGTAAAATTGATTTAGGTCAATCCAGTGTAATTAAGGCCTGGCCAGATAAAATATCAGTATGAAAATAAATCAGGTTGCTGTAATCTCAACAGTTTCCTGCTTCTTTCTAAATGGTCATTATTAGAAAATTGGAACTAAAAACATTAGAAAATTGGAACTAAAAACATTAGAATATTGTCACACATGCTTACAGAATAGGCCTGCACAATATAGTAGAAACATCATATTGAAATTATTTTGACAGATATTGCGAGTGGGAATTATCAGAAATGTCAATTTTACTGAAACCCCTCCCCCACATAAATTCCTGAAAATGTGACATTTGTTGGGGTCTGTACCAAACAAACATGTTTTCTTAAATCTGGAGAACAAAGTTTTGTATGCCAGGGCATCTCTTCAGAACTACAGGACTTTATTATAATACTGTTTGACACCCAGTTTTTTTTATTTTGGATATTGCACTTCTATTGTAGTTTGAGACTTTAAAACTTCTAAAAAAGAAAAAACTTGAAAAACTCTAAACTCAAAGGTTTAACCAAAAATAACTTCCAGCACCAATTATGTATAAACAGTTTCTCCTGTATAGCCTTGCTACGGTTATACTGTCAACTAAATATCTACATTTAAATTAGGCCTGATGCTGTTTAACATTGACTCTGATGACTGGCACCGAGCATAAGAGTGTGTCTGCCTGAGTGTATTTTAATTTGATTTCAAAAGGTTTTTCAGGAGGTCTTTTTACACAACCTGAGACCAGTGCAGAACATGTACAGTGCACCCTAAGAAAGGTCTGAAATTAGAAGATCAAAGATTTAGGTAAATTAAAGGTAAATTTGTCAACTTCGTTAAGACCCCAGTTTCTATAATGCTGCATTAAACGTCTGAACTTCTGAACTGAAGTTTAACATCCAGTCTCCACTGAAACTCTAGCACAATCTGTTCAATCTAGTAATTGCTTTGTTCTCATGACAACAGTGTGGCAGCTACAGTGCCATGCCATTTATTTTGCTTCCTCCATAAAACTCATGAAGGTGCCCTAGTTGTCACGGTGTCACATGGTGTGTACAAATAATTAGATCAGAATGTAATGCAGACATTTATAGCATGTAGATAAACAGGGGTTACATAAAGAGGGTTATGATCTTATTAGCATTTTCATACCAGCATTAAATGGGGCCTTAATGCGAAGGGAGTGGAAATTTACCTGTAACATTGTAATATTTTTCTCTTTGAAGGTGCTGCCTGTAACAAAGTCCCTGGCTTCTCCCAGTTCCACTACATGGTGTCAAACTCTGAGTCAGACACACCACTCCTGAAATCTGTTGACTGCTTTTAAATGGTGTATGATTGTGTGTATCTCTTTTATATACATAAATAAATTAACAGTCCATACAGTATTTTTAGATAGATGATTCTGGTTTTAATTCATAAATAAAATGTAATAAAAAAACGTGTCATTGGAAATTTGAATGGTTGCTGCTTTAAGTTTTTTTTTAAATTCTTTATCACTTTCTTGTGATAACTTTGAAACATACATCTTAAAAAGACAGACATTAACAAAACAGGATACAAATAAAATGCAAATTGATTTGGTTTGATCTCAAAGTCATACAGCTGGTAGATATTCTCCATTAAATGCATGGTTCAGGACAATGTATGTATTTCAAAGTTACCAGGTCCCTCTCTATATCAATTTATCTATAAGAACACATTGGCATCTGAGTTTCATTTGGAAGGAATGCATTGCAAAAACACATTAACAACCAGGGAGGATAGACACCCCTGGTCCATTGTTTGCCCACTGGAAAAAGTCACACTGTTTACCCTTTTGAAAGCTGCAGGTGTAGAAATTCCGGCCATTGTTAGGTCCTAGTTTTAGAACCGTCCTCATTAAACAGTGTTTCCCGTGGTGACAAAAAGGGAAGTGCAAGTCAGCCCACTGCGACACAGAAAATAAGGTTTTATTAACTTAGCTGTAAACTTTTATTCCAGGCATTTATAGTTGATAATAACAATGTTTGTGGATTGGCTAAAACCAAAGAAATATAACAAAAATAATAATTTAAAGTAATTTAGTTTTCAGGCTACACAATGCTGTAGAGATAAAAGATCATTTTTACCTCGAAAAAGTTGCACTTGGTCTCTCTGGGAAGCGAGCAGGTGTAGAACTGTCGTCCCTTATTCTCCCCCTCCTTGTGGACCACTCTGAGGACTGCTGGACGACGATGGGATGCACAACATGGGGCACTGGGACTGGAAGAAATGGAGGAACTGTGGCTTGCCGCATCTATTTTGCGTGTACTGACAGAGGTGAAGAAACAGTCTTATTAGTTTGAAATAAATTGAAAATAAAACACAAGTACACCTGTCACATCAACCCTTATTAGTGAGCAAACAACCTCCCCTCAACCGTGTGGTGATGTGTTGGTAACAGTGGTATTTGCATGGTATCTTCCTACGACTATTCATCAATCTGAGCTATTTTAACAATGTTGCATTAAAAATTCCACAGTCAGATGCTTTTTTATCCCACTTATCTCCCTGAAGTTGCAAAAAACTTCTCTTATTATAAACTTATTCATGAATAGCCAAGCAAGAGATTCACTCACTGTGAGTTGGGGGTTCCATTTTGAGCATTGTTACTGGGAAAGGGGCTGTGATCAATTCTCATTTTCTTGGATGGGTGACTGTAGGAGGCCAGTGATTCCCCATTGGAGAGCTCGGCACTTTGCCTCTGCCAGCCACCAGAGGCATAATTGGGGCTTGTTGTCCCTTGGCAGACGCTGTATTTATATAAACCTCGCTCTGCCGCCAAGGAATTCAAATGACTGTCGGCTGGGGAGAGTGGGGAGTTTACAGGCTTTGGCTTCTTGCTCAAGTCAGAGAAAACAAGGGTCGAAGTCCCAAATGCAGACCTCCAGTTGACTTTGAGCTCCTCTTGTGGCTTCTTGAAGGCAGTGCAGGGGTATTTAATCAAATCTGCAGTGAAGGGTGATGCTTCAGTGCTAATGTCGTCTTTGTGGACTGTGGAGACAGAGCCAGAGTGAGAAAACTCATTTCATGTTCAGCAGCTGCAGCTTATTCTGATGCACTGGCTGCTCTCATAAAATGCAGCTTGTTGTTAGCTTTAAGTGGTTAGCTTGCCATAAAATTTACCAGTAAGCACCAGACTGCTGCACTGTGTAGTCAAATAAAATGTCACACAATCTGTTGTGCTGAAGATGCCCTCATGCAAAATTCTGTGAAATGAGCCTCCGTATAATACAACTTTGAAAATAAGTAAATGTTTTTTCAGTAATGGTGAACTACCATGTCTGACATCAGCCATTAACTGCGAGCTGTGAACAAGTATTACTCTTCCATCCCTCAAAAGCTAGCGTTAATGTACAGCATCCTTAAGCAAGGCACTTAACCTCCAGCTGTTTTACAGGATGAACTAGAAATGCAAATAATGATATTACTTAAAAAGTTTCCCTGAAGAAATAAATGTCCATTATTCATTTCCACAGATTTTAAAGGAATATTCAACAATCCAAAAAATGACTCACACTCATTTCAGTTCAAACTACAGGTGTACATTTGTAAATCTAGTGGACTCATATTTAGTCCTTTTTTGCACGGTTGAAGACAACATCAGGTAAAAACAGAGCATCAGATGTCAAAATGAAAAACGATCTCTACAAAATAATCTAAATTCATTTCAAATATAAAATACAAAATACTTTTTAAAGGCACTATTAATGTAGCCAGATGCCAGAAGATGCAGGGTTCTGTCCAAAGTGTGGTTTGTTTGGATTGAGAACATTATGTGAACGGACTGCAGGAATCAATGCCATATGTAAAATATAACACTGACAGATGATAGTCAGCGATTTACACATGCTTGGAAAGCTCAGCATAAAATGAACCACGGGCAAACTGTAGTCTTGAGAGATTCTTCTATAGCTGTTCAGTCAGCTAGGAGACTTTTTTTAAAATGTTAGTCATTTGAAAAAATAAAAACTATACAATACAACAAATACAAAGCAAACCATTGAACTGTGGTTTGGTGATTGTAACAGAGTGATAGCGCGGACATTTCTTTCATACACTACTTCACTGCTACCATAATGCATCTCAGAATAGTCAGAGAAAAATGGCCAACTGACAGACGCGCTCATTATTTGGCAGCAATATACACACACACTGCAGTGTGTCACTTCAACAGCTTACTGTTCGCTGCCTTGCTCAGAAGTACTTAAGCATCGATGGCAAACGGTACTTGGAATCATTCAGCTAAACAGCAAAAACCACAGCTACAGTTATTTTTTTTCTCTTGCTAACAAGGACATTCTGACGCCCCATTAAATTCAGTGACTGTAGAAAAACATTTCACTCACCCTCAGGTCTTGGAGTGAAGCAGGCATCACAGGCTTTTGCTGCTGGCTGGTTGATGAGTGTGCAGAGTTGACAGGCCCAGTCCTCTTCCTCCTTTTTAGCCACATTATCATTGGTTCTCTCATTGTAGGCCCAGCCAATCAGGCTGTTTCTGACTGGTAGCTTACTGGAGAAAGGAAACACAATGACAATGTGATCCTAATGAACCTAAAACAGGCTTACTTATAAATTAAATGTGTGCACTGAGGCAGAAATAATGCTACTGTATAAAAACAAAACACAGGTTCCCTTACGGTTTACACATTAAGTATATTATTATGCAAACTTGACACACTTTGGTACCTTGCACCTATCCATTTATAGGATAACTACTATGATCACCTCTCAGTGTAACAAAATAAACTACAGCCTCTAAATTACCATACAGTTGAGTATGTATAGTATGGTTAGACAGAGTAAAACCTTCATGAGGGAAGTTTTTTTGTTCTATACTGCAGTCATTATAACTAGGTGTACCTAATAAACTAGCAACTGCGTGCATTTACATTTTCGGGGAAATGATTCTCCTCTACAGGGAAGTGTGACAAAAATTACTATTTATATTAAAATGACTATGTGTTTAGCTGAGGAATACCTTCAGAATAATTTACAATGCGTCCATACATATAATGAATTTCCTTGATTACTTATATTACAAGCAATTAGTCCTTGCAACAGCAAGTGCAAAATGATTAATACATATCAAATTATTTTATTCCAATTATAGAACATAGAGGAAAAGAGAAAACTTTAGCTAGACAAACATTTGAGGTTCAAGCAGAGGATGAACGTGTTTCTTATAATGGCTCTTAGCATACATGTTAGCACTCTGACATGAAGCTCGACTATGTTTGACAAGAAGGCAAATCTGCAGTGCCAACAGTCATGGAGGAGGAAAGTAGCAGTGGCTTTCAGGAAACTTTCCTCCCAGATTGCTTTATCAGCTGTGTAATGCGTTGTAAGGGCTTTAGGCTCTAACCCCTCAGAAAGCTTTGCTCAAACACAACCCAGGAGGTGTTGAGCCGGTGCCCTGTCTGGCAAACACAGCCTTATATGCGCATTAATTTCCCCCCATAACACTTCCCACTCCCTGCCAAGCCCATCTGCCTGCAAAGATGGCCTCTCTAAATTTGAACGTATTATCTAAAAGGCTTTAGAACTTTCTGCAAAGACTAGGTTTCTGAAAAATGACACCTAGCTTTACTGTGTTGCTTTTTGGTATCATTATGTCTTGTCATTTTCACTTGCTGGATTTTCTTTTTATAGAACGTATGAGCATTGCTGGACGGAGCCGGAGAACTAAGAATTTTATTGCCAATGACTGATTTACTGCAACAGTTGTGCACGTCATGACAATAAATAACTTGAACTATTACATTAAAATCATTAAAATGCATTAAGAAGAATCAGAAGCCTACATACACATCTTTTCCTATACTGCAACATTTCATTAAGCAAATAAATCAAGCATCATGTAGTTAATTCTTACAACATGAAATGTAACATTTATCTTTATCTATAGCTAGTACAGTAGAATTGTGATGTACAGTATGCATTCCCTTTACTGAAAAATGTTGTTTTAGTCTTATATCTTACTTCATATCCAGACCAAGCATAAAACAGTCCTTGCAAGAATTCAAGACAATATCTTTTCAAGTCAAAGTGCCAAAGGTCTATGAGGATTTCTACCTGATGTCAATCCCGCTGGGATCTCCTTTCTGACAGCGCTCGCAGAAGTAAGTCATCCTGCCGTTGTCTCCTAGGCGACAGACTGTGATGACATGAAAGCACTGGCCGCACTGGGGACGCTTGTAGACTTTGTAATGTTTGTAGAGAGGAGAGCCAGATTTGCGACACTGATAGAGACAAGGAAGGCAGGCAAGAGTGAATAAAAAGACGTGGATAAAGAGAAAGAGAAAAACCATTGACCTTGTCTATTATGCATGGACAGGAATATTTATTTTGTCTATTCTCTAGGCAGCAAGGCTTTGACTTTTGCTCTCCTTCCTCAGCAACACGGGATTTTACGTTAATCCATTATCGCAAGTCACTCT